ATCGCAAATCGTTAATCTGTCACTCTCCTAAGGTCAATCTATTACGTACTCTCTGTTGGATAGTATAGAAAGAGAGGATACTGCGAATATTGGACACATTGTATTGAGCCTCAGGGGGCCGATATATATAGGAGTACATGGGGAAGAGATAAGGAAATATTACAGATATGGAAGAAATCCAAACAAACCAATCCTATCCTAATATGACTCTAACTACCATATACTCTAACATCCCCCCTCAGTCCAAGCGTGAGCAGCGCGGACACTTGGACTGGAGAATAAACCGGCAAGAGTGCTCAACACGGATAATAGCCCTTTGTGCCATAGTCGATGTAGCCAAAGCGAAGGAGCCGGGAGAGCCGTGGTCGCTGAAGCCGTGCGTAGAGTAGCCGTGGTCGATGTAGCCGAAGTCGGGGAGCCGATGATGTCGAGGTAGCCGAGCCGCGGAGCGCACATAGGACGCCGTAGAGTGGTCGTGGACGCATGGGAGAGCGTTGTGAACCGAGGTGCGCGAGGACGCGCGGGAGATGATGACGGGGACACGATCGCGACGGTCGTTGAGGAAGATGACGTCGAAGAGCCGATATAGTCGAACCATGAAGGACAAGACGTCACACCAGGTTTGCCAGACCCGGGGACGACTCGGGACAAACGCGCACAACGGTGTTACCAATACCGTGCGGGCTAGGTAGGGGACCACCAGAAATTATACGCCAATGTCGGAGGAGACTAGCAGAGAAGGCCTCTAGGATGGTCGCGGCGCGAGAACGGCGTAGAGGGAGAATTGCCGGAGCAGCACGCAGTTGCCGGAGAAGAGCGAAGTATAGTCGAGGAAGATACGGCGACACTGGCGATGAATCATGCTGGACGAAGACGAAGGCGAAGTAGTGGGACCAACGCAGCTCGATGTCGATGCAGCGGCGAGAAGTCCACCGGTGGTGAGGCCACACTGAGGAGGGTGCCTCTCAGGTCTCAACACTGTAACAACCAGTGGAGGTGTGGACCACAGGCAGCGGCACTGTGGCCCGAGGGGGGCGACGCAGCGGCAACCCGAAGCTTGATGGCGTAGACGCGTGCTCGATGATGATCGGTTGTACAAGTCGTTGTAGCTGGGCGCTGGAATGGGTGATCAAGCCGAAGATGCGCGAGGCAGAACGATGAAGTTGAAGCAGAATCGATGCCGATGTCGGAGACGCGCAGATGTCAACGAGGCGGTGGGCGACGCAAACCCAATCACTGATTGGGAAAGGGGAAAAAATACAAGCAGCAACACAATAGCAGCAGTCCATACCAGCCGTTCACATCACAACCCTTTGAATCTGACGCAAGTCACCACCAAGTCAACCAAGGCAATAGGCTGTATATCTTCACACCATCCATCTAGTCTCTCTCTCCTCACATGGCTGCCACGCACAGGATCATAGCAGAGAGAGACACCGAGAGACAGTGGAGAAGAACAACCTGTCAACAGGTTTGTGTGGTGGAGACCAGCAGCAGAGCTGCAGGGGCCGGCAGAAAATTGCCGTGTGGAAGCGACAGTGATGAGCACTCCCTCCCCCTGTGCGCCGGGGTTGAGAAGGGCGGCGAGGTCGACGACGGCTGGCGCGGAGGTTGGAGAAGACCAGGGGGCGACGGACGAAACGGTGGCCTGGAGTGGCCGCCAGATCCACGGCATGGATGATCGGCGAGGACGTGGCTCCTGTCCCCCGGCATCAGCAGCCTCGGTAGAGGAGAGAGGTCGACGGAGAGGACGGCAACAGAGGAGGCAGGACCGGGAGCCAACGGCGCAGCGACGTGGAGAGCCGCGCCGTCGACGGGATCCGCGGATGCGATCTGCTACTGCTGCATGCTGATGACGCGAAGACGCACGAACGATCTGAAGATGGCTTTAGATCGATCTGACGACGAACAGGACGGGGGCCACCGAAGGAGATCGAGGGCGATCCCTCTGGCGACAACGACCTCAGAGAAAGAAAAAAAAATGTGGCCGCCCTCGGGAGATCGCTACTCCCGGGGGCAGCGGTGGCGGAAGCGTGAGAGCGGCACTAGATCGCCCGCTCTGATACCATGTTGGATAGTACAGGAAGAGGGGATACTGTGAATATTGGACACATTGTATTGAGCCTCAGGGGGGCGATATATATAGGAGTACATAGGGAAGAGATAAGGAAGAATTACAGATATAGAAGGAATCCAAACAAACCAATCCTATCCTAATATGACTTTAACTACCATATACTCTAACACTCTCCAACTAGTGTAAATCTATTACTCTCTTAGTGATCTGATATGTTATAGCGGGTATGAGAAAAGGAATATTCAATCACATTGTGCCACATTAGTTTTGTAAGATGTTTCTAAACAAGTTTTTTAGGTGCATCAATTTCTAGGAGGTAAACAAGTTAAAGTTTTTCACAGGCTCAAAGTTGTTCTTCCATTGTTGTTAAAAGAAATTCATAGGCACCTATGTTGTTTTGGATATTCGAATTGGTGATATGAATTTGCTGGTAAGAGATAAAAAAACACTCTTTCCTTTGAATTGCTGATAGTATATAGGAGATAAAAGATGAACCTTTCACCCTTCCTTTCTTGTGCGTAAGTCATGCTGTCTTGTCTCTAGTCCAAACCTCTCTGCTTATTTTGATTGGGATTCGATAGGAGTTCATATATAAAACGTGTAAATTAGCACGATAAAAACGAGTACGCACTGCTCAAAATTTGCTAAAACAAAACACACTTTTGGCACTTAATTCAAACCTAATTATATACTTCTAGTCACTATGGACATTTGGATCATAACTTAATCACGAGTAAATATACGCTAACACTAACTAATGAACACAAAACTAAACCAATTCTGGACTCTGTCTCACTGTCTAACTCCTCCTGGGCACGAGGCGCGGGCGCAGCGGCTTCGCCATGACGGTGGTGAACTCCCGCTTCTCGGCGAACTCCACCTCGTGCCCCTCCACCTCCTTCCACTCGAACTCCATCACCATGGATCCCACGAAGTACTCGAGGTGGAGCATGGCGATGTTGAGCCCGGCGCAGATCCTCCGCCCGACGCCGAACGGCATCATCTTGATGCCCTTGGTCCCGTGCATGTCGACGCCGGCGCCATGGCCGCCGTCCAAGAACCTCTCCGGCATGAACTGCATTGGGTTCTCCCATTCTCTCTCGTCCCTCCCGATCTCGGCCACCATGAAGTTCACCGTGGCGCCCTTGGGGATGAGGTACCCGCCGACGTCCATGTCCTCCGCCGCCTTGTGCGGCAGCACGAAGTGGCCCGGCGGGTGCTTGCGCAGGCCTTCCTTGACCACGGCGTTGAGGTACGGCATCTTGTTGTCCTTGTCCCTCACGTTCCGCTCCAGGAGCTCGTCGTCGCCGCCGCAGGTGGCGTTGATCTCGGCGTAGAGCTTCTCCTGCACGGCCGGGTTCTTGACCAGCTCGGCCATGATCCATTGTAGCCCGGTGGAGGTGGTGTCGGTGCCGGCGTTGAGGAACTCGGAGCAGAGCGTGACGATCTCGTCGTCGGTGAGGGCGCGGTTGCCCTCCTCGGGAATCTTGACGTCGAGGAGCGTGTCCACGTACGAGTGCTGGAACGTCGTCTCCCTCGCCGGCGGGAGGCCCTGGCTGGCGAGCCTCTTGTACTCCCGGCGAGCCTCGATCAGCGGCACGAAGAGCTCCTTCTGGCGCCGGCGCAGCGCGTGCGCGGCCTCGAGGCGGCCGCGGAAGAGGTGCTTGGTGATCCACGGGAAGAAGAAGAAGACGCTCATCCTCCTCGAGATGTAGAGCAGCCACGCGCGCTCGGCCTCCTCGACGTCGCGCACGGCGGGCTCGTCGAGGCGCTCGCCGAAGCACATGAGCACGAGGAGGCAGAACATGGTGTACTGGAACGCCTCCATGACGTTGGGCGCCTCCTCGCCGGAGCCCCGCAGCTTCTCCATCAGCACGCGGCGCACCCAGACGCGCGCCGGCGCGAACTGGTCGACGCGCGACTGCTGCAGCGTCTGCGACACGAGGTTGCGGCGGAGCAGCCGCCACATGGCGCCGTAGTTGGCGCGGGTGATGATGTTGTCGCTGACGCCGAGGAGCGTGCTGGTGGCGGCCTGCGGCCGGTCGGCCAGCTTCGCGCCGGCGGCGATGAGCGCCGCGTGCGCCAGGTGCCGATCCGCCACGAAGATGGACAGCCTCGACCCGATCCGGAGCGTCACGACGGGGCCGTACTTCTTGAACAGCGTCAGCAGGAGGGGCTCGACGTCGGCGGCCGAGTGCCGCAGCCAGAGCAGGTTGCCGAACAGCGGCACCGCCGGCGGGCCGGGCGGGAGGCGGCGCCGCCTCGACGACGCCGCATTGCGGAGCAGGAAGAGGAGCGGGAGGAGGAGGACGCCGGCGAGGATGACCAGGTTATCCATCTGCGTCGTCGTCGATTGGTGTCGTTGTTGTACGTCGGGTGAGACAAAACGGCTTTACATTTATAGGGAGACGCATCAAGTCAACGCTGAATACGATTGAGTTTGGATAATTTTATGAGTTTAAGAGTCTGAACAAACTACGGGTTGTTCGGATGTAATTTTCAAATCTTAATTCAAAATTATTATGTGTTAGAGTCCTGAAGTCTGAACAAACTATGACTTGTTGGATTGGATGCAATTTTCTCGAGAGAGAAATCGTATTCAGAATTGGTTTTCTTTTATCTGCTCTTTTCTTGAACATGTCGTTAGACCTTGGATCATACGAGTCATGTGGAAACAAGGTGTCGCATAAGAAAATATTCTAGAATTTTTTTTCTTCGTATTTATTCCTGTTCATCATCATCCCTGACGTCAGCGGAGGTGGACCCTTCCGTTCACTTCGTCCGCAAGTCGAATCGAGATCGCGACGGTGGCATAAAGCATAATAAACCGATAAATACAACCGAATTTACTTAAACACAAGCAGTTAAAAACCTCCTAATAACGTGCTAATTACGACACGTGTTAACCATATAAAATGAGTCCCACTGAAGTAGCCACACGGTACGCGGTGCTCGCGCTCACTCGAAGATGGACACGTGGCACGTCGCCGTCGCCGCAATCCTCGTCCTCATCCCCTTCCTCCGGCTCATCCTCTCCCGCCGCGGCGGCCGCGGCGGCGGGAAGCGCGGCCGCCTCCCGCCGGGTCCTCCGGCCGTGCCGTTGCTCGGGAGCACGGTGTGGCTGACCAATTCGCTGGCCGACGCCGAGCCCCTCCTCCGGCGCCTGATCGCGCGGCACGGCCCCGTCGTCTCCCTCCGCGTCGCGTCCCGGCTGCTCGTCTTCGTCGCCGACCGCCGCCTCGCGCACGCGGCGCTCGTCGAGAAGGGGGCGTCCCTGGCCGATCGCCCCGCCATGGCGTCGACGAGGCTGCTCGGCGAGAGCGACAACCTCATCTCGCGGGCCAGCTACGGGCCCGTGTGGCGCCTCCTGCGGCGCAACCTCGTCGCCGAGACGCTGCACCCGTCGCGCGTGCGGCTGTTCGCGCCGGCGCGCGCGTGGGTGCGGCGCGTGCTCGTCGAGAAGCTGCGGGACGAGAACGGCGACGCGGCGGCGCCACACGCCGTCGTGGAGACGTTCCAGTACGCCATGTTCTGCCTCCTGGTGCTCATGTGCTTCGGCGAGCGGCTCGACGAGGACGCGGTGCGCGCGATCGCCGTCGCGCAGCGGGACGCGCTCCTCTACCTGTCGAGCAAGATGCCCGTCTTCGCCTTCTTCCCGGCGGTCACCAAGCACCTCTTCCGCGGGCGCCTCCAGAAGGCGCACGCCCTCCGCCGGCGGCAGACGGAGCTGTTCGTGCCGCTGATCAACGCGCGGCGGGAGTACAAGAAACGGCAGGGCGGCGCCAACGGCGAGCCGAAGAAGGAGACCACGTTCGAGCACTCGTACGTCGACACCCTCCTCGACATCAAGCTCCCCGACGACGGCAACCGCCCGCTCACCGACGACGAGATGGTCAACCTCTGCTCCGAGTTCCTCAACGCCGGCACCGACACGACGTCCACCGCGCTGCAGTGGATCATGGCCGAGCTGGTCAAGAACCCATCCATCCAGTCAAAGCTCCACGACGAGATCATGGCCAAGACCGGCGGCGGCGGCGGCGGCGGCCAGCGCGAGGTCTCCGAGGAGGACATCCACGACATGCCGTACCTGAAGGCGGTGGTGCTCGAGGGCCTCCGGAAGCACCCACCGGGGCACATGGTGCTCCCTCACAGGGCGGCGGAGGACATGGAGATCGGCGGGTACCTCATCCCCAAGGGCACCACGGTGAACTTCATGGTGGCGGAGATGGGAAGGGACGAGAAAGAATGGGAGAAGCCAATGGAGTTCATGCCGGAGCGGTTCCTCGCCGGCGGCGACGGCGAGGGGGTCGACGTCACAGGCAGCAGGGAGATCCGGATGATGCCGTTCGGCGTTGGGCGGAGGATTTGCGCCGGGCTCGGCGTCGCCATGCTACATGTCGAGTACTTCGTGGCGAACATGGTGAGCGAGTTCGAGTGGAAGGAGGTCGCCGGCGACGAGGTGGACTTCGCCGAGAAGATCGAGTTCACAACCGTCATGGCGAAGCCGCTGCGCGCTCGTCTCGTGCCCAGAAGGGCCTAGATCACCATGTATGTATGCGTTAGGGTCACCGTTTCAGTAGCTTAGCTCAATCCAAATGCATGCTTCTTACTACTCTAGTGGAGTTCTTAATTAAACACTACCTAGTACAATACAATAACCTTTGTTCTGAATGATCAGTGGCGATATAGTGATATGGATATGATGCTTCTTAATTAATTAGTTTCTCTACTTAGTTCAGTACTTTTTACTTCCATGCTCTGAAATTCTGAATAGAGATGCATGATTAGTGGTGAAATGTAAAAATAGCCGGTGTAATTAAGGTGTTCCTATTGACCGAATCTTGCGAAAATTGAGATGAAACAATATATCTAACTCATTCATGTTTGGGCACGTAGTACGTTGTAAGGCGATCGATCGGTTGCTTAACCCGGATGATGAGACATATCTTCGTTGTGATGAAAAGAAGCTGTTTGATACGGATGCGCAAGCAGTTCAGAAAGCATGAGCATGATGTCCGCGGGTCGGAGATCGACCATCAGACGTCCGAACCGTGAGGAAGACGACGTATCTTAGCAAGTGCATCGTGTTGCTTTCAGCTAGCCTTTCATGGCATCAATGCTACTCCATGGCTAGTTGTGTAGACTCCAGTGGCAGGCAAGAGAGACGGACCGGAGAAAGCAACAGTAGTTCACACCGTAGTACCGTACCATGGTGTAGGACACGGCGTAATGTGTAAACATAGAAAATGCCGTGGATCAACAAACTTTACAGTCGTATATGTGAAGAAAATTTAAGCGAAAAAAGTATATCTGAGACCCTTCATCTTATCGCCGAGTTACAAAATCGTCCCCGAAAAAAAAAATAGAAATATGACATCGTTCAACTCACGAAACCGAGTCACTCTAAATCCTTAAATAGTTTTGTCCGACGCAACAGCTGTGTCAAAGTGGGAACCATATGTCAGTAACTACTTTCTCTTCTCTCTCTCCTCTAGTACTCTCCTTCTTGGGCACGGGCCACGTGGAGAAGGGCAGGCATGAGGGGCATGGTCGGCGGCCGGTGAGGCAGGAGCACGGCCGACGACGGGTGGGAAGAACCGGAGACGCGCGACGACGTCCTGCTCCTGTCAGTACCTTCCCCTTTCTTCCCTGTGCTCTTCTTCCTCCTCCCATCTCACGCTCTCTCGAATCCTCTCGCCCCTCTCATCATCTCCCCGGTAAGAAGGCAAGTCGTCCATATCTTTGTGTCTCCTTCAGCATGAGCTCGCATCAACCCCATAGGAAACCCTCCCATTCCTCTTTCCCGGCGGCTCGGCATGAAACATGTTCCACCACTCGCGTCATCCCAAGCTCGGGAAAAATTTCTCCCGGCGACCTTCGTGGACCTTCATCGTCTCGTCATATCACCGTTGCCCCTCACCTCTCAACATCTACTAATAACGCTAGCCACAGCACCGTACCAGCATCGCCTCCCTTCGGAATAGCCGAGCCATGCCCGCCATGTCCTCCCCACATCATCCTCCCTAAACACAACCATTAGTGACACCTGCACAGCAATCTCCGTTTGGTTGTGATCGGACATGAGGGCAACGGCGGCACAGATCGATCTGTCCCCGGTTCTCCCTACCCTTCGCCAGCTGTGCTCTTCCCCGCCGGCCATCGGTCGCGCCCGCCGCGTCAGCCCTTCTGCCCATCAACTATCGCCAAAGAAGGGGATGACTGGGGGAGAGAGAAGGGGAAGTAGCCACTGACCTGTGGGCCCATGTGGGTTCCACACTGATTCAGTTGTCATGTCAAACAAAACCGCCTATGGACTTAGAGTGATTTAGTTTTATAAGTTGACTGATGTCATATATATGGTTTTTGGTTCATGGATGATTTTATAAATAAATCGTCGACAAGATAAGGGGTCTCAGGTATACTTTTTCCAATTAAAGCAGCAGGCCGAGACCTCACGCTGGGCTGGATTGTCTCGCCTAAGGCTTGGGCTGGGCAAACTTCCCGCGATTCGCGAGAAACGGCCCAATTAGTTACGGCTAAGGCTCGCACGGGCCGATCGTATGCGTAGCAGGAGACACGGGGGCGCCGTGCAGATGGCCGGCAATGCCAGAGGAGTTACTTTCCAGTTTCCACCATTCATTATTTTACACACCAACGCTGCAGAGTAGACGATGCCAGGATCATCAAGGTAATCTGACTGAGCGAAAAACTCACAACGTACTCCCTCCGTTTCGAAATGTTTGACACCGTTGACTTTTTAGCATATATTTGACCGTTCGTCTTATTCAAAAAATTTTGTGCATATGTAAAATTATATGCCTACATAAAAATATATTTAACAATGAATCAAATGATAGGAAAATAATTAATAATTATTTAAATTTTTTGAATAAGACGAATGGTCAAACATGTGATAAAAAGTCAACGGCGTCAAACATTTCGAAACGGAGGGAGTACACACATAGGATATTCTCTTGGTATCTCTCGAGAATCGTAAAATTTCTCACAGAATATTCATTAAAGAAAGGAAGCTGCCAGTGCTACGTGCGATGATTTTGGCCGTTTGTTCCCTTACATTCGTATATGTACCGTATATAATAGAGTAAATTCCTTGTGTGCCCCTGAAAAGTTATTCAATCCCTTACATGCCCCTGAAACTTACTCGATTCCACCCTTGAATTTTTGATTGGATCCCCTACATACCCCTACCGTTAGATTGAGCAGCATTCCCTGGTTAGTTTGGTTGAAAATGTCTATAATACCCTTGAGGTTGGAGGAGCTGAAAACTAAGAACATGTTTGGCAGCTGGGTTTGAAACATTCATGACTGCACAGTATGTATTCCGTGAGACTAAAAAATTAGTGCATAAAATTAATTTCATTTTCTTTTGTTATAGCATTCAGTATTTTATAAAAAAATATAACATGACATTGGATCTTTCATGACCACTAACCGACACAGCCTGGGGGTAAAAGACAGTACCCCTAGCCGTTTACTCAAACACCATTGCAATTCATCAGCATATCAAGAGGATCGGTAGCACCATTTAATAGGAAGAAAATGAAAATACATCTAAAAGCATTCATACACCATCAGCAGTACACAAATATATTACTTTTTACATCATGAGCATAATGGCACAAGCCCATAACAGTTCAAGGCATCCGCCTGCATAAAGTCAAACAAATCAATCAAGAAACACTAGCAGCAGCAGCAGCTATTCGCATTTTGCTAATCAACGCAAGGGCGTATCATTACCGACGGCGAGGAGCAGTGGAGCAAGGAGGTAATAGGCCGGCGTCGGAGCCCCCGAGAAGAGGGTGAGGTGACAAGAGGGAGGGCGCGGAGGAGGCAGGGAGGAGACGGCGTCGCCATGACCGCAAGCAGAGTCGAGGCCGCGGCGGGATGCGGACTCGTCGCCGCGGCAGGATGCAAAGCCGTCGCCGCCCACCAGATGCGGACCCCGCCGCGCCACCGATGGGATGCGGACCCAGCCGCCACCGCTGACCGCAAGCAGAGCCGAGACCGCGGCGGGATGCAGAGCCGCTGCCACCGCCGGGATGTGGGAGAAGGGCGGCGATGCGCGTGCAACGATGGCTGAAAGCTGGCGATGTGCGGCACCGTGCGTGTGGGAACTATACTATTTTGGAGGATTTGGGGATCGGATGTGGCCCTGTGTTACCTAGGGTTGACAGAGGCATTTTCGCATTTTATGAAAATACTGACAAGCTAACACACACATGAACACAAACATCTGACGGAACCCAAACGGTAGGGGTATGTAGAGGATTCAATCGAAAATTTGGGGTATAGAAGGAATCAAGTAAGTTCCAAACGGTAGGGGCATGTAAGAGATTGGGTAACTTTTCAGGAGCAAACAAGGAATTTACTCTATATAATATACTGCACAATTATTTTCTCTAGGAATCGAGGAATGGATTAATTATTCGAGTGTACTCCGGGGCACGAGGCGCACGCGCAGCGGCTTGGCCATGACGGTGTTGAACTCCCGCTTCTCGGCGAAGTCCACCTCGTCGCCGGCCACCTCCTTCCACTCGAACTCCCTCACCATGTTGGCCACGAAGTACTCCAGGTGAAGCATGGCGATGCCGAGCCCGGGACAAATCCGCCGCCCGACGCCGAACGGCATCATGCGGATCCCCTTGCTGCTCGTCACGTCCACCCCCTCGCCGTCGCCGCCGGGGAGGAACCGCTCCGGCATGAACTCCATTGGCTTCTCCCATTCTTTCTCGTCCCTGCCCATCTCAGCCACCATGAAGTTCACTATGGTGCCCTTGGGGATGAGGTACCCGCCGACGTCCATGTCCTCCGCCGCCTTGTGAGGTAGCAGCATGTGCGCCGGTGGGTGCTTCCGGAGGCCTTCGAGCACCACCGCCTTCAGGTACGGCATGTCGTGGACGTCCTCCTCGGAGACCTCGTGCTGGCCGCCGCCGCCGGTCTTGGACTTGATCTCCTCGTAGAGCTTTGATTGGATGGATGGGTTCCTGACCAGCTCGGCCATGATCCATTGCAGCGCGGCGGACGTGCTGTCCGTGCCGGCTACGAGGAACTCGGAGCAGAGCATAACCAGCTCGTCGTCGGTGAGCGCGCGGTTGCCGTCCTCCGGGAGGTTGATGTCGAGCAGGTTGTCGACGTACGAGTGCGTGAACGTGGTCGTCTCCTTCTTCGGCTCGCCGCCGTTTTTCTTGTACTCCCGCCGGGAGTTGATCAACGGCACGAACAACTCCTCCTTCCGCCGCCGGAGGGCGTGAGCCTTCTGAAGACGCCCGCGGAAGAGGTGCCTGGTGATCGCCGGGAAGAAGTTGAAGACGCCCATCTCGCTCGACATGTAGAGCATCGTGTCGCGCTCCGCCGCGCCGATCGCGCGCACCGCGTCCTCGTCGAGCTGTTCGCCGAAGCACATGAGCACCAGGAGGCAGAACATGGCGTACTGGAACGTCTCTACGACGGCGCGTGGCGCCGCCTCCGCCTCGCCGTGCTCCTCCCGCAGCCTGTCGACGAGCAGGCGGCGCACCCGCGCGCGCACCGGCGCGAACAGGTGGGCGCGCGACGGGTGCAGCGTATCGGCGACGAGGTTGCGCCGCAGGAGGCGCCACACGGGCCCGTAGCTCGCGCGCGAGATCATGGTATCGCCCTCGCCGACGAGCCTGGCCGAGGCGGCCTGGCTGGGGCGATCGGCCAGGGAGGCCCCGCTCTCGACGAGCGCCGCGTGCGCGAGGCGGCGGTCGGCGACGAAGACGAGCAGCTGGGAGCCGAAGCGAAGGGAGACGACGGGGCCGTGCCGCGACATCAGGCGCTTGACGACGGGCTCGGCGTCGTACAACGAGTTGGTCAGCCACACCGTGCTCCCGAGCAACGGCACGGCCGGAGGACCCGGCGGGAGGCGGCCGCGTCTCCCGTCGTCGCCGCGGCGGAAGAGGATGAGCCGGAGCAAGGGGATGAGGATGGCGATCGCGGGGACGAACAGCTGCCAGGCGTCCATGGCGCGAGCGATCGAGGTGCTCGACGACGGCCACCTCGTACTGTGCTGGCTACTTCGGGGCGCCTGTTTTATAGGGGTGTTTAACTGTTAGTTTACGCTTGAAAAATCGTCGTATGAATCGTTTTATACTACTTTATTTACTTGATCGTATCACAGTCATGATCTCGATTGACTTGGCGAGGAAGCTTGAAAGGATCAATCAAATACTGATATGATGAAATGAAAATTGGTATAGAATGGTAATACGTGCTTAGCACATCTGGTTTAAAGAGTTCATAAGTATAAAACGTCTGGTAACAGAGTTAAGGAAGGTAAATCTTACTTATACAAGAGTGTAGATCAGTAGATCGAGCTTAAAAAAATGTGCGAACAGATTCAAATAAGTATTTCTGAAGTTGGATACCGATAGTTATAACATATGTGAAAATAATGAAGAAAAAACATAATTGGCTGAAAAGTAGAAGTAGGTGAAGAAACGAACGAAGAATAGTTATAATTGATTGAGATAAAAAGATAGATGAAAAAATAGTTTTATTTTAAAACAGAGGTGAAGCGGTAGGAATAGTTTCACTTCAGGAGGCATGCACTGGTAAGTATACCTGGCCAAATGGGCCGTGCCAAGCCGGGCCGGCCCGAGCACGGCAGTACTGTAGCCGGCCCAGGCCCGGCACGGCACGCCAGCCTGTGGGCCGTGCCGGCACGGCCCGTTATCCCGTGCCGTGTTTGGGCCGATGCCTCAGCCCGTGGGCTGGCACGGCACGGCACGGCACGTTTACTGTAGCGTGCCGGCACGGCACGGCCCAGGCATGGCACGGCCCACCGGCCCATTTATTTTTCCTACGATTTTCTAATTTTTCCCATATATTTCTCATATTTTTTATTTTTTTCCACATTTTATCCTATTTGTACCATATATTTTATGATATATTTCCTAAATTTTCCTCACATTTATCCTATATTTATCATTTTTTCCTTTATATTATGTTTTTTCTGCCTTTTTTCTTTTTTTCCCCTCAAATTTCAATTTTTATGGGCCACATGTACTAGTGGGCCGGCTACCAGCCCACGTGCCACTACAGTAGCCGTGCCGGCCCGGCACGGCCCAGCACCTTCTTGGGCCGTGCTTGGGCCGTGGCCTTGGCACGTGGGCCGGCACGGCACGGCCCGCTACAGGAGCCGTGCCTAACGGGCCGTGCCCTAGTGGGCTGTGCCGTCGGCGTGCCGTGTCGTGCTGGGCCGGGCCGCCCGTTTGGCCTGCTATACTGGTAAGTGGCAACAACTAAGTATATCTTGCTCCATGCTGATAGTAGCAATTTTTTTTAACATGATCATTTTTTATGCCCAGTCAATACGATATGTTGATAACAAAGCTATCAATGGAGAATACGAACGATATGGCATAGTATCTTTTGGTTCTGTATGTGTCCTATTCATTAGGATATTATCTTCGTTTAATATTTGTTGGAAAAAGTACGAATTACACCCCTGGACTATCGAGGTCGACCGAATTACACCCCCGAACTCAAAAACCAGACATTCTACACCCTCAACTATTGAAACCGGGCAAATTACCCCCCTAAGCACTGTTTTAGGTGGTTTTGGGATAGACTTGCTGACGTGGCAGTCCAGTCAGCATTTTATTTTTTTAAAATGGTGGGACCCACATGTCATACACTCTTTCTCTCTTCCTCCATCTCTCTTTCTCTCTCTTCGTCGGCCAGCAGCAGGCAGCGCCGCGCACACCGGCACGCCATGGTGGAGAGGCGAGCGCCGGCGAGGGGATGCGATGGGCAGCGGCGCGCGGGGGCAGGCCGGCGGTCGGCGCGAACGGCGGCGCGCGGCGAGGTGGAGGGGATGGGGGAGAGGTGGGCGCCGGCGTCCATCGCGGAGAGGCGGGCCGTCGTGGCGCCGGCCGGCAGCATCTTGAGGACAACAGCGTGAGGCCGCGGCGGCGGTGGTCCAGGCGGAGCACGAGCGGGGCGGGCAGAGAGGAAGGAGGTGAGGAGGCCAGGGAGCGGGCTGAGGAGGGAGGAGACCGGCGAGGGAGCGGGGAGGCCGGGAGAGTCGTCGGAGTCATCCCCCAGCCGCCACCGTCGTCGTCGTTCGAGCCGCTCCCGCCAGAGTACGATGAGCCCAGCCATACTCGTTGCTGCGACGACCACCTCTGGCCCGACGACGACCGCCGTGCCCCGCTACCCTTCCCCGACACCTGCTCGCTCGGATTTGGCGCGGCGGCGGAGAGAAGCGCCGCCCGCCTCCTCCCTCTCGGCGCGCTCGCCGCATCCCCTCTGCGGGCGCTTGCCGGCATCCCAGCCCGTCTCGACAGCCTCCCCTCCGCTGTCCCCTCCTCCCGCCGCCTCGAGCTCCGGCGGGCGCGGTGGGGAGGGCGAGACGGGCGGCGGGCGCCGAGGACATTGAAGATGACAACAGCGAGCTCGGGCGTGCGCGCCGACCTCCCGACGGCCCGAGAGAGAGGGGTGAGAGGGGGGCACTTCGTCGCCCTCGCCACTTCGCCGCCCTCCGCCGCGACAGGGGGGCACGGCGCCATCACGCCCGCCACGCCACGCCCGCCGCCTGCCCCGGCCCCACCACACCCCGCCGCGCCTGCCACCGCGCTTGCCGCCCGTCCGCGTGCCGCTGCCGCCGCCCACTGCCCGTTGACACACGCCTGAGAGAGAAGGGGAGGGGAGGGAGAAGAGAGAGAGGGGGAGGGAGAAGAGAAAGAGAGATAGGGAGGGGTGGGGATCTGACAGTGGGTCCCACTAATTATTTTAAGAGAGGGTGGATGAGGTGGAGGCTGACATGTGGGGCCAGTGCCACGTGTGCGGCCACGTAGGACTGCCACGTCAGCAAGTCTATCCCAAAACCACCTAAAACAGTGCTAGGGGGGGTAATTTGCCCGGTTTCAATAGTTGAGGGTGTAGAATGTCTGGTTTTTGAGTTCGGGGGTGTAATTCGGTCGACCTCGATAGTTCAGGGGTGTAGTACTTTTTCCATATTTATTTGAGCTAAAATATTGTTCCCACTAGTTGATACCTCGTGCTTTGCTAGAGATATGTGGATTTATGCATGTTATACATTATAGAAATGGTATAACATGCATTTATCCACATATTTTGCTGCAAAGCGCGGGGGTATCAACTAGTTACTAGCTTATTACTTGGTACTTTTTACTGTAATCTTTTCTGAAATTATGAATAGATATGCATGATTAGTTGTGAAATGTAAAATAACCAGGGTTCGGAATTTCCAAATCATGATTAAGGGTTCATTCAGATTATAGGATAGGAAAAATATAGGATTGGGAAAGTATAGAAACAGGAAAGGAATCTAAGTGTGAAACATAAGAATGAAAAACAAAGGAATAAAAAAAAATGAGGACATTCGGATAACATGAAATTAATTGCCTGGGATTTGCATGCAGGAATAAAAAAAAAGAGCTTAAGGTGGACGGATTTTTCATATACTTTTCATGTGAAATCAGCATCAAAGGAAACTTTTCTTTGGATTTCCTACAACCACAGTTTTCATGATCTGAATGACAAGAAAGGAAAAAAAATTCCTATGCACAGTATTCCTCCGAAAATCACGTGAAGATCCTCTAATCCGAAAAAGCCCTAATAGTGGGAACTGAACAGGCCTTCATCGACGGCGACCAGCCCGCCAGCTTGCCAGTTGGGCTAGATTGCTGGAAAGAATCACTTAAGTCCTTTAAGTTGTTGTAGAGTCTAAAATTCTTCCCTATACCGAAACAAAAGGTATAACTCATCCTCAAATTCACCATACCGTGTTAACTTTGGTCCTCGACAATATAGTAGCCCGACTGACGCGATGAGTGTGACCCATGTGGGCGGTGGGCCCCACATGTCTCTAGCTAAATCTTCTCCCTCTCCCTCCTCTCCCTCTCCCACGCGCGCCGGGAATGGCGTGTCATCGGTGCCCGTCGTTGGGACGCAGCCACGCCTCCGCGATGACTTCGCGCGCCTCCAGGACTAGAGCGGAATCAAGTAGCTGGCAGAAGCGGCGACGAGGTCTCCGACGCCTTGTTGAGCTAGGTCTTCCTCGACGGCTACGACGGCTGCCTGCTACCGCGTTTTCTAAGTGTCTAACGCGGTATTCCCAGCTATTGGGTGTTGTTTTCTCCCAAATCCCACCTACGGCTCCACACTGCCACCACCTTTTCCTCCACAGCTCGTAGACTGCGACGCACTCGCGCTCGCTCGCCTCCTCGATCTCTGACCGTGTCCGCTCCACCGCGTCAGTCCACCGCACGTCGTCGATGTGGCGATGGGGGCAGGCCGGTCGTCACCGTCATCGTCGACAGCCGCGGCCGACGGGTGCTCCATGTCGAGACGATCGCATTCCACACATGATACTCGTCAACTTAGTCCCAGAACTAGCTTGTGCACCATCCGGGCGTAGCGCTCGACCACGGACCACCGCTAGGAAATGAGCCGTGCGCGCGACCATCGTGGCGTAGTCCAAGTCGCCGTCATCGCCTTGGACGGCCACTGCCAAGGTCGTCGTCGCCACCGCCGCCGCCAGCCTCCGCCTTTCTCTTCTCGATGTGGTGAAATTGAGAATCGCCCTCCTCGTCGTACACATACTTCCGAATCGCTGCGCTGCGTACTATCCATCTTTTCTTTGGGGGGCTGCTATATAACGGAATCCCATTTTCTAACGGGAAGATCCCGAGTAGGTATCAGGTGTGATACCTATCAGGTATCAGATGATTTTACACACGTTTTAGGTGATCCTTGCAAAGTATCATATGATACTTATCAAGTATCTGTAACATACTGAAAATTAGCTATTTTCTAATTATGCATCATACCGGTTCTTACGTTTTTATTAACCTCCTAAACCTAGGATATTATAATTAAAGAGACCTCCTAAAATTAACCTGCATTAAATCTCTTTCTGGTATTTAATTTCTTTTGTGTCTTTCCTTTAAAAATATATTTAGTTAAATTAAGGAGTTTCTTGATTTTGGGTTTTAATTTAAAAACCTTCTTTTGACTAAAATTCTTTTATTCAAATTTAGTTTGAAAACCCCTTTTTATTTTTATGAATCATGGTCCAAGAAATCCTCCAACACTATCCTTGAACCAAAACCGAAGCAATTCCAAATTTATTGGAATTAATTGTCAATCTATCCTTTGATTCCAAACCTATCCTTAGTCCCCTTTCCAAATTTGTATCCAAATTCCTTCTTCCAATCTAGCCGTCAATTTAATTCCTGTGGCTTGATTTCCTCCTCGGCACAAGAATAATATTATTACGAATATTGTGAATAATTGCTCTTGTGCTAAGAAAATAGATTATATCTTTGTCATTCAAATTTCCTATTAGCCTCAAACAATTCTTTGAAACCCATGCCATATGTTTTGAGGCTAAAACCCTATTTATCCTTCTCCAACTATCTTGTTCCCACCTTCCTATTTACATATTAAATTTTATTCATATATCGCTCACCCTTCCTATTTGAGTGCTTCCAAATAAATTCCCTCAAACTCCACCTCTAAATATTGCACTCAAATATATTAGGAAATCTCTTTTGTGAATTCTTTCTGAATTCAAATTCTTTGCAAAACCTAGTTTTGCATATTAAGTATTCAAATTAGACTTTTTCCTTTTTGTCATCGGGCCGAAACTCCGTTCTTTCTTCCTTTTGGCCCAATTCTTTTATCTTCTATTTTCCTCCTCCCTCTCGGGCTGCCGGCCCAGCTAAGCCGAGCCGGCCCAATTCGGCCCAGCCAACCCCAGCCGAACCGCCCCCTCCTCCCAGTGCGTGTCGTACACGCGCACGGCGCACGCCGCCGCAAGCTCCTCTTCCGTCGCCGCCAAGTCGCGCCGCCACCGTCGCCATGTCGTGTTCATCAACTGCCGCCGCCGTCTTTCCGTCGCTGCTAAGCAACCGCAGCCGACGTCAGCCGCCACCTCACGCTGCCGCCGTCAGCCGCCGAGCCGAACCGACACTATCGGCCAATCGAAGACAGAGCCGGCGCCGACTTCCCTTCCTACAGGCCGATGCATCATCGTGTTTGCCTTCACCTACTCCTCCAAAACCGCCATAAGCAACCGACCTTCGCCGCCTATAAATAGCCGGCGAGGTACCCTCCTTTTCCTCACATCAACAGAGCTTGAAGCTCTGCTTCTCTCTCTCTCCTGCCATGGCAAGCCCTCACCAGTCATCGGCCGATCTCCCTCACTGGAGCATTGCCAACCAAATACTTGCACCATCGGGTTCGCCTCGACAAGGAGAATCCATTTTACCTATTTCCCCTCTTCCCTAACCACTTCATCAAGCCACCATAGCCACCTCTTTTGCCGCCGGAGGCAAGCTCTTCCACTCGCCGTTCCGGCTTCCTCTCTAACTCCCTTCGCTTGAAACTGCCTTCCCCGGATGCGCGTTGTTCGGGAACGCAATCCGCCACCGACGTTGCCGATCCCCGGCTACCGGAGCACCGGCGCCCAATCCTCTCCCTCCTCTGTTACTCGGCTGGGAGCCTGGAAGAAGAAGAAAGGAAAACGAGAGGAAGAAGGAGAGAAAGAAAAAGAAGAAGAAAAAGAAAAGCCTGACAGGTGGGTCCCCTGCACAGTGACTTTTCTCATTTTCTAGATTTAATTCAAAACCCAATCTTTAGAAGCCCATATCTCCTAAACCGTAGATCCGATTCCAATAAAACTTGGACCTAAATTTATCTAAATTCAAACCCTATCTTTTGACACCAAATTTGCTATTTTATAATTTTATTTGAATCTATTCAAATATCGTTTGAATTTATATTTGCCTTTTCAAATATTTTCTTTTGTCCCAAATTACCCCTTTAGCCACTAAAAAGCCGTCGGTTGGAACTTTATGCCTTCCATGGGGACATTCGTGGTTTTCTATCCTCGACGTCGAACCGTTGGTTATAAAGCCCGGCAAAGCCCAAACCCAAGGTCGAAGTGTTGCTCCTGGCACCCCACGCCTTGATGCGTACAGCGGTCGGAGCTTCACTATTCCCTCGACCTCCACAGCACGCCGCACAGTTAGCTCTCGGGCTCTGTGTGATCCTAGCCGCTCCGCCACCACTCACGGTTGTCGGAGTAACACTTCCGCCCCACTAAACCCACACAAACCTCCTATCCCTCTAACCGTTATGCTGTCTGTTGACACCGGCTAGAGAAGATACCAAACCTAGTCGTTATGCTCTAGCATCGACTACCACACAACCAAACCCTAGCCGTCCTAACCATTTATCGTTTTCTTGTTATTTTATGGCTTTTATTGAATTTAGTTCTTCGTATTTCTTAGTAGTCTATTATCTTTTGGATGGCAACCTGTGATGTTTCGAGGATCGGATAATCAGGTTGCCTATCTCGGATTTGTTTGCGTTGGAGCAAGGCAAGTTATTATTCCACCCCTTTGAGCATTATTATCCTATATTCTATATCTCTATTATTCCATGCATTAGCCATTCATGATTTTAAATGCATAACTTGAACATATAGCAAACCAGATATATGCTAGATTTTGCTTAGCCATGCCTAGTTAGATTGCATAAAATATAATGAACTTAGATTGGAACAGTACGGTAGAAATGGTTGATTTCCGGGTGGCTAGTACTGTTCCAACCGACATAAGATTGCCAAGTACATGTGAAGAACGAACGAGTACGACCGCAATTCTAGAATGGGGACAGACTTAGCAAAGTAGGTTATCTAACAAAGGTGGTACCTCTGTATAGTGGTTCTTCTTTAAGTCCTCGCGCAGGAGGCAAATTTACGCCGAGCAGGGCGATTATAATATTTACCGAGGCGCGGGTAAATATATTGATTATTGCGCGCTGTGTGTGTATTGTGAAAACCTGGTTGGGACGACGGGGGTCTCTCAACCAGTTCTCTCTAAAGACCTCGGGAACGCCAGAACTCCTCTCGCTGCTGATAACGTTACGTTCAGAGCGCATGAGGATGAGAGTTCATGGAACAGGTGCCACTGATGTTAGTAACCGAAAAGCTTTGCCATGACTAAGCTGATGAATATTAGCATGTCATGGATTGCGGGTAAAGCGTACATCTACTGCAGTATGAGTATCTCTGAAACTATTCGAATAGCCGTGCTCACGGATATTGAGCATCGGGACTCACTATGGCATCTTGGTTAGAAATATAACTCCAGATTTATTAAATACTGTTGCATTTCAACACATTATAGACTTTCTCCTTCTAATTTCTCAGCTTTCTGCAAATAGATCTAGCTCTACTCAAATACTATTATTTCATACATTCATACTTAAATATAATAGCTTGCTGAGTACGTTATACTCACCCTTGCTTCAACCCCTCTTCTTTCAGAGTTAATTTGGAGTTCTTGCCGAAGCCGAAAGTTCAATCATATAAGTTAGTTTCATTTCAACCTAGTTTTCAAGTCTAGATTTGTTAGATGGTTTAAGTCTATAGTAAAACCACAACTTGCTGAGTACGTTATACTCACCCTTGCTTCAACCCCTCTTCTTTCAGAGTTAATTTGGAGTTCTTGCCGAAGCCGAAAGTTCAATCATATAAGTTAGTTTCATTTCAACCTAGTTTTCAAGTCTAGATTTGTTAGATGGTTTAAGTCTATAGTAAAACCACAATATTTTAACCTAGTTTTCAAGTCTAGATTTGTTAGATGGTTTAAGTCTATAGTAAAACCACAATTTTAAAACATTAGGATTGAGTCATTTTATAGCTTCTGTTGTATTAGTTAGCCACAATTTTGTAAATTCCCCTATTATTTTGTAATATAAACTCCTTCCGAATCGAATCATTAGTTTTGGGACCAGATAGCGCTATTTGTGGTCGGTTTCCGAAGCTTGATACAGTATAAACATGTCGGTTTCCGAATCATTAGTTTTGGGACCAGATAGCGCTATTTGTGGTCGGTCCTCGCTTTAACGAAAAATTCCGAAATCAGAGTTAACAGCCTCCAGGCTCCCATCCTTATATCTTGGTGCTCCTCAAGCTAGCTAGGCGAGGTGGTACTAATCGGCTGCTACAGTACCACGACGGTACTGTAGCGACCTGCTACTACTGCCGCTTGGGCCGGCCTGCTACCGAGCCTGGCCCAGCTGCTGCTGCTAGCTTGCCTGCCTTTCTTTTTTTTTTTTAGGGTGTTACATTCCACCCACCCTCAGGGGTTCGACGACCCCGTCGAACTGTCGAACACGCCGCCCTCTCTTGGCGCACGACCGTACCGTCCAATGCCGGCGCCATATGCCATGTGCCTCACACGGAGCCCACATGCGCTATATGCCCGCACGCGCAACCGCGAGAGTCTGCTCTGATACCATTTGTGCAGGGCCCGAAAACGGCTCATTTAGTTGGACCACACCTAATACTGCAACTCACTACGTTTTTCATCCTCGCTTTAAAGCAAAAATTCGCTTTAAAGCAAAAATTCCAGAATCAGAGTTAACAGCCTCTAGGCTCTCGTCCTTATATCTTGGTGCTCCTCAAGCTAGTTAGGCGAGGTGGTACTAATCGGCTGCTACAGTACCACGACGGTACTGTAGCGACCTGCTACTACTGCCGCTTGGGCCGGCCTGCTACCGAGCCTGGCCCAGCTGCTGCTGCTAGCTTGCCTGCCTTTTTTTTTTAGGGTGTTACAGTATCATACGATTTCTACCACGTATCGTATGATACTCGTGAGGTATCATGTGATACTTATCAGGTATCAGACGATTTTTACCACGTATCGTGTGATACTCGTGAGGTATCATGTGATACCTGTAAGGTATCAGACGATTTCTACCACGTATCGCGTGATACTCGCGAGGTATCATGTCAGGTACCGACGATTTCTGCTATGTATCACGTGATACTTACTAGGTATCGGATGATACCTACCAGGTATCAGGTGATTCCTGCTAGATATAACTGGACATCCCGTTGGGGAGAGGAGCATCCCGACGCGCGGCCGGCCACCTGCAGTCGTCCCTTGTAGACGGCGACGACGACGGCGGCGGCGACGGTGGTGGACGGGCGCGGCGGCGGCAGCGGCGGCGAGGGACGGCGACGGCGGCGGCGGGGGACGGGCGCGCGTTGATGCCTTCAGCCGCGTCGCATGGATGAGAATCGCATCTGTGGAGAAGGAGTATCCCGTTGGGGGATGGTATCTCGTCCCTAGCATTTTCGTTTCTTTTAGATAATGGATCAAACCAGCCTCTACGTACCATCCATCTTGAGATTACAGTTAGTTATTAGCTGCCATTTGATTTGAAGCGTGCACGTATATAAATAGCTGCATCTTTGTTGATGGAGTTTGTTTAATTAGAGGCGCGGCTGCAACCCGACGACGGGCACACGACGGGCGCTGGTGACATGCCGTTTCCGGCGCGTGTGGGAGAGGGAGAGGGAGAGGGAGAGGAATTAACCGCTCACATGTAGAGTTCACGTGGGTTCCACTCACCATGTAAGTCAAAACCGGTAACTATACTATCGAAGGATCAAAGTTAAATTAACACGATACTGTAAGTTGAGGAATGAACTATACATGTATTTCGGTTCAGGGATGAATTTCAGACTCAACGACAAATTGAAGGACCTAAAATGAACTTATTTATATTTGTCTTGGCTTTGGTTTGGGTTGGACAAACTACAGAGTCGTGAGAAACAGCCCAATCCTCAAGTCCATAACAAGAGAGAGTGGATTTTAAACTTATTTCTATTTGTCTTGGCTATGGTTTGATGTTTGTTTCAAACATGAACAAAATTAAAAAATAATAATAAAAATTACTAACATGTGATATATCACTCTACAAACATGCAAGTTAAAACTTAACTTCTACAAGTTGCAAAAAAATTAATTAAACTACCATTACTTAATGTATATTCACATTCAAATTTATTTTTTTTACAACATGTAGAACTTAAATTTTATATTGTATGTTTGTGAGATGATCTATCCCATATTAATCTATCTTGTTAAACTTTTTTAAAAAAATTTATAACTATTTAAGTGACATGTAAATAATGATAGTACATCTCCTCGAGAATTTAGAATTGTTTTCCCATAACGACGATTCAGCCATGCAAACTTTGCACCGTGTGTGTAGCAGCGTAGGGGTGATAATGTGCTTAACTTTTTACCGTAGAAAATTCCAGTGCTGAATCTATAGCAGGTTAAATTTTGATATCTTGTTACCAAAAAATAAAGGAAAAAATACAAATTACACCCCTAAACAATTGTGACGGTATGAATTATCCCCCTTAACTATAAAACCGTGCATTTGTCACCTCAAACTATAGAAACTGGACAAATTACCCCTTTGACTTAATCCGGAGGGGTTTTGCTCCTATGTGGCAGACACGTGGCGCCAACGTGGCAATATAATCAGAAAAAAAGTAATAAAAAACTATGGGCCCACTTGTCATATAGTACTCCTATTCAACCCATCTCTCTCTTTTCTCTCTCTAACACTGGAGACGCGGCGGGCGTGGCTGGGAGGGCGGGCGGCGGCCGGAGGGCACTGCGACGGTGTTGCCGGGAGAGATGGAGCTGCGCCTCCGCCGGCGAACGGCAACGCGGAAGGCCGCCACCGCCGTTTCTCCCTTTCCCCTCTACTTTCCTGCAATGCAGTGACGGTGGTGGTCTGGGCGGGGAAGGCCGTGGCGGGGAGGGCCACCACCTTCGCGCGGAGCGCTCTCTGCTACTGGGAGCAGTAGCCGTCGTGGCGGTGAGGAAGAATGGACGAGGAGGCAGCCGTGCGAACGTCTCAGTCGTTGCCTCATCGGCCGCTCGCTCCCCCTCCTCTTCCGTCATCGGACGCACGCTCCGCCTCCGCCTCCGCAACCGGCCGCCCGAGCGAGCTCCGCCTCCGCAACCGGCTGCCTGGGCGCCTCCGCCGCCGCCCGCCAGGTCCACCTTCTCCTCCGCCACCGGCCGCCAGGTCCGCCTTCGCCTCCGTCACCAGCCGCCCGGGCGCCTCCGCCGCTGGCCGCCGGTCGCCTGGAGCGCCTCCACGCCTCCCCCACGAGCACTCGTCCACCTCCCTTCTTCGGCCACCGCGAAATCGCTGCCCTGCACGCACTCGTGCCACCGTCGCTGGCCTTCCGGAGCTCGCGGTTCGATCTTGTCGCCGCCTTCGCCTTCGCCGTTGCAGTTGCCAGCAACGCGTTCGCCTTCGCAGTCACAGAGTCGCCGACGGGGGAGCTGCGGCAGCGCCCGTTCGCGCACACACTCCGCTCCTCGCCCGCCCGCCGCCCACAGCCATCCCCGCCGCCGACCGCCAGTCGGCGTTGGCTCCTCGACCGCCCGCCACCCGCAGCCATCCCCGGCGGTGGCCTCCCGTCGGCGCCGGCTCCTCACCCGCCCGCCGCCCGCCAGCCGCAGCCTCTGTTGGCCGAGAGAGAGAGAGAGGGGGGGGAGAGAGAGAGAGAGAGGGGGGAGAAGGAGAGAAAAAAAATCGCTGACAGGTGGGCCTACCTATTTTTATTTGTATTTTTGCTGACTGTATCGCCATGTGTGTGCCATGTAGACTGAAAACCACTACGAATCGAGTTAGGGGGGTAATTTATCCAGTTTTAATTGTTTGGGGTGTCAAATGTCCAGTATTGTAGTTTAAGGGGGTAAATCGTACTACCACAATAGTTCGAGAGGTAATTCGTACTTTTTCCAAAATTAAAAATATATGAAGTCTAGATAGTGTTGTGAAAAAATTTTGATATCTTGTTACCTCTACCCGTTTGTGCAGCCAGTGCACGTGTCTTGTCCATCCTCTCTACAATGTGGGAAAATAGTACTAGTTTTTTCTAGGAAAAATTCTTTCGTTCACCTACCCAAATGAGGCCATGTTTAGTGCGTGGAAAGAAAATTTTTGGGTGTCACGTTATACGTTTGACCGGATGTCGGAATGGGTTTTCGGACACTAATGAAAAAAATAATTTCATAACTCGCCTGGAAACCACGAGACGAATCTTTTGAGCCTAATTAAGCCGTCATTAGCACATGTGGGTTACTGTAGCACTTATGGCTAATCATGGACCAATTAGGCTCAAAAGATTCGTCTCACGATTTCCTCCCTAACTGTGCAATTAGTTTTTGTTTTTATCTATATTTAATACTCTATATATGTATCAAAAGATTCGATATGATGTATTTGAAAAAAAGATTTTAAGAACTAAACGGAGCCTGGGTATCCCTATCTTGAAATGGAGAGAGTACATCGTAGAAATATGTGCATCATTTGGTTTGGCAAGGGAATTTTGAGGAGAATATTTAGCCTCGGTAGTACAGTACGATTTAGAGAAGAAAAATCAGGCTTCCTGACACTCCCCAACATGCAAGATTGTATCAAGCTAGTTTGTTTCTCTTTTATTTCTCCTAACTTTAAATATTTTTTTTCCAAACTACTTATCCGATCTACGATACGGTACCATTGTATTGATTGTAATTAAATCTTTATAGCAAGATATCACGTGATTATATTCTCATACCTGATAACGATATGTTTCAAGATGTGTCTTCTGTATGTTTCACAAAATTCACATAAACTCTATCTCCTCTCTCTCCACTTCATTCATGCATGCATTTAACTATCTTCAAAATGATTTTTCTTCTAAACTACTTATCCGATCTACGATCCGATCACACCATTGTATTTGTTGCAATTAAATATTACAACAAGACATTACATGACTATATTCTGATGAAAAACATACGTTTCAATCCGTTAACACTTGATGCCTCATATGCGATAACGACATGTTTCAGTGTGTATTTTCATTGTGTTTCGCAAAATTTTTAAAATGTTTCGATGCTTTAAA